AATGTTTGTGTTATAATTTTATTTTATTTTACTAATACCGTCCGCACTTGAAAAAATTTATGGGTCCGCCCATGCATCCCAAGTCATTTCCATACATGTTGAACCGTGGCAAGCTGCCAACGACAAATGTATTAGTACTAGCACACTTCATCGGCAATCGGGGGCATTTTAGCCAATTTTCATAGTAGTTCTTGGTTTCTTTAAGAGTTTGAGCATATATCATTTGGTTCAGATGCTGGGTATTTTAGCCAATCGAGGGACTTCCTGATCGCGAATCATCATTTCCGAATGTCATGGAATTGTTGAACTTGCGATTCAAATATATACACAACTACAAAATAAAGAAACGTAGATATCAATTGCATGTATAATAGCATTCAATCTGGGCTTACTTTCACCAAGTCAGGAAGTGGGTGACCCGGCTGATTTCGTTCGTCGCGTTTTAGGGGTTTAGGTAATTGGACGATGAGTCTTGATAGAGGAATGGTGATTAGGGGTTCATCTTTATCTGCTATGGGGATTTTGGAAATTAGAAGGGAATCAATTTGGGCAAATCGATATCTAGGGTTATTCTACTTACTGGGTTTGGGTGGGAGAATTGGGGATTTCCCATTCAATAGATTGTGTTTTGATTTCCATATAATGTGTATTGTGTTTTTGCAAAAACAATTATCCATGTGGCAGGAAGAGAATGCCATCTATTGACACGGAGGACGCCGTTATGTCACGTCAAAAGTCATACAAACGGGAATCTGGGGAGTTATGAATGGAATAAAATTCTATTAAGTTTAATGACCATTCAAATGCATAACAAAGTTCAGTGGTCCTACAAAGAGGGATGACAAAGTGGGCTTACAAAGTGACGTGGACGGCTAGGATTAGAAGGCAACGGACGGCTGGGATTAGAAGGAAATGATAAATGAAAATTTGAAATTTGAAATACCAACTGCTCTCTCTCTCTCTCTTCCATTATTTCTTCCTTGCTCACGGTTTTGGCTAACCCTTTGGAGAAGCCATTTTCGAAAGTCCGAGAAGGCAACGGACGGCTGGGATTAGAAGGAAATGATAAATGAAAATTTAAAATTTGAAATACCCACTGCTCTCTCTCTCTTCCATTATTTCTTCCTTGCACACGGTTTTGGCTAACCCTTTGGAGAAGCCATTTTCGAAAGTCCGAAATCGAGAGAGCTCCGGCAGCCGCTCAACGCCGGTGGCCAATCCAAGTCTCTCTATGAAGTTTATCTCTTCCGTTCGTCCCGATTGTCTGACGTTGTCTGACGTGAAGAATAAAAGCCCAAAACACAGAGTTCTTCTTCGTCCCGCTTCTCTTCGTGAAGAATAAACTCTGAAATCGACACTCAGAGCTCCAGCAGCCGCTCTAGCACCGGTCTCTACACGTCGTGGCCACTGTTTTGACTTATTATTGTGAGGTATGGTATGGTTTATTAATC